GTGTTCTGTGGATGCTGAGGTGCATGCCTTGTCTCATTTCCTGGATGTATTTTATCAGTTATTATCTCAGGTACGGTTCGACTCCTGAGACCTGACACTGTCGGAGTTCACTACCTCTGGAATCTGTTCTTTTAAGATCAGGAGTTAGAAACTTTATGAAGTTGAAGTAAAATGTTGAAAAAAATTAGCTGGAGTAGACAGAGTATTCATTTATAGTTAATGTGAGAGATGCATTCTGGGAGTCCAAGTTGCCTGCCTACCTTGAGGCGGTGATACTGGGACCAGAGTTGGCGGGGGTCTCAGGTTCTGTCTCTGGTTCGGGCTCCGCTCTCTTGCTCTTCTTCTTCTGCCAGCCCTTGGCGCGGGACTTCCCCCTCTTGTCGGCCCTCTTGTGACAGGCTCCATTTTTCGGGTGCGGCTCCTCGTAGATGTTGAGCGGCCGGCGGTCGCAGCCGTCAGGTATGTGGCTGCAGCAGTAGGCGGTCTTTTTCACAGAGAAGGTGGAGGCACCGGACGACGTCACCTCTTTGACAGGCTCCATCTTCATGTAGAGGCCGGCCTTCTGGGCGCAGCTGACGTGGAAGGCCGTGTAACAGTTGATCTTGTCGCACTGGATGCAAGCGCCTGCGCCCTTCTCCTTACACAGGTAGCAGGTCAGCTTCCAGCGCGCTGGTGGGATGTTGCGGACGCCATCGATGGGCTCGATGAAAACCGTGTCGGAGAAGCCGACCTCGGGGACCCACAGAGCACATGCTACGTGTCCCCAGCGGTCGTCATCCGTCTTCTTCAGGGCTCCGCCTCGGTTGGGGCAGAAGACGCACTCGGCGGGCCGTGACGGACACTGCAGGCAGTGGCGGCAAAGCCACTGGCCCTCAGGGATGTACGGCACGCCGTAGCACTCCTGGTGCACAGCGATGTTGCAGGAGTCGCAGAAGAGGATGACGTTACTGTCGGCTCCATCTCCGTCCATGCAGATGCAGCAGACGGCGTCCTCGTCCACCAGCGACTGCAGGTCGCTCTGACCCTGCGTGGCCAAGTACGACTCCTTCTCGAAGCGGTCCATTAGGAACTCAAACAGGTTGTGCGACACCTGGCTGATGCCCTCGCTCTTCCTCTTCTCGTTGATGATCTCCAGCCAGGCGTAGTCTTCCTCGTCCATGTCGTACTCCACTTCCTCGTCCAGCTCCTCCGCCGTCCTCTCTGTGTATTTGTAATACGCCACCGGCCTCCTCGGCACCACCGGCAGATTGTATTCAACCGTTCTAACCTTAGGCTCCAACAGGCCCCCGGTGCTGCTGTGGGTGCCGCTGGTGCCGTGTGACGCTGTGAGGGCGGCGTTCTTCTTCTGCTGGTTGTTCTTGAGGCGCACGGAGCGCACCAGGACCTGCTGGGGCTTCTCGTTGTTCTCCTTGTTACTGTTGCACTCCATGATCTCCTGAGCCGTGGGGTCGTCGTCGGTGATGACGTCCAGCTTGTCGTAGATGCTGAGCCGGTGCACGCGGCCATCCACCTCCAGCTCCACCATTCGCTGAGCTTGTGCATACGTCAGCGTCTCCCGGTTGGGCGACGGCTTGATGGGAGACGACTCCCTCTTCAGCACAGACGGGCGGTGGTTTCGACCTTTTTTCTTCATGTTGAAACCGTGAAGACCCTGAAACAGAGAAATGAAACCACGGTGTCAATGACTGAAGTAATTGCTGAACAACAGCAGTTTTTTCATGCCATTAACTCTGACCCTGACCAACCCTAATGCTGTGAAGCAACAACCAGCAGTGTGTAATGGATCTAACAGGAACCTGCACCAATGATTAACAGCCTTAAACCTCAAAGTTGCCTTTCAGGAACCTTGTTGGGCGGTTAATGTTCTTACACAAGGATGTCACCGCCTCTTCCTCCAGCCTTCAAACAAAGAGGAGCCGAAAAATATGTAAAAATTAAACACACTATTTTACATTTCTGTGACACACAGCTGAGTGTTATCATACAACAACCAAGAGTGCCGAGCAACTGAGCATGGATTAAGATTTAGGCACCTAAATGCAACATAAAACAATCCATCAGTGCATTATTAATAGTGTGTCTTTCACACGGTACAGCTGAGTCTCGTCTGCTGCAGGTGTTGCATTATAAATTGCTGTCAGCAGTTATTGGGTGATGCTGATTATGCAAATGTCCTGAATACATTAAGGTTGAGTATTGTTTGAGCCACTATGATACATCAGAACTATTTCCAATACCTTAGCTTGGGCAATATAAATACATTTAATTATTTGTCTTGTGTGAAAAAATATGTAAAACTAAACGCACTAAACACTGTGTTAAGTTAGACCAATCGAATCAAAGATTATTAACAATTATCTGACAAAGCTATTGGTGCAAACTTTTGACATTTTTCAACACTTTAAGTTGCACATACATACAGGTACATATCTCTACTTATACATGTACTATGCTATAGTAGTTCTTGTCCAGCTCATACATGAGTACAACAGATATATGTTTGTGCTTGTTTATCGTTTTTCATCTGTATGTGTGTATGTCTATAATAGGCCTGTGGTTTTTTTCATTAAATAAATCTGTAGATTAGTTTCTTGATTAATTAATGACTCCAAACACAGAATAAATGTCCATCACAGTTTCAAAGAATATAAGCTGACATATTTAAACATCTAGCTTCAGCGCTTCAACACTCTACAACAGAGGTTAATCTAACCATCATAGACTATGAAAAAATACAGTAGATATCTGAACCTAAAAAATATCAGGAATTTGGCTTACGAAATGACTTACTTAATGATAATTGAAAAGTCGTTTTAGTGATTTTTTAAGCAAAAATTTTAAGAATGTGACGCTTCACAAATGTGATGACTTCATACTATTATTTGATGCTTGTGACAATAATAATGAATATATTTGGGCTTTGGACAGTGGATCAGACTAAACAAGACATTTGAAGACATCAGCTTGGTCTCTGGAGTATTTAAACGGGCACTGTTCACCATATATTGACTTTTATCAACAAAAGAGTTAACTGAGTAATTAATCGATAATGAAAATATTGGCTAGCTGTCGCCCTAATCAATCATAACATCATATTATGACATCATATCGAACAATTACACTTTCGCAGACTTATACAAGGAACATGTGGGTTAGCTGGGGGCTTTAAATGGGAAGTTCCGTTGTGTGTTTGTGTAGCTTTCATTTCTGAGATCAACGTGCTTTCAGTTGAATGTCGTTACAGAACAGGGGGCAGAGACAGACAGTGAAAACTATTATTTTTCTTCCTTTCTGTGCTGTATGTCTAAGTACAGTAAGAGCTCTCGGAAACTTAACTTCTTTGTGCTGTGCAGCTAAATCTTAAAAAGACTATGCAACCTCATGTGTACCCTCACAGGCGTCAACAGGGGACGAGGTTCAACTGGCAGCTTTATATGTATCGCTCTAGTGTGTGAGCTTTAATTTCTGAGATCAACATGTTTTCAGTTGGGATCTGAACGTGGTGACAGTAAAGGGGGCGGAAACAGGCTGGATGTGATAACGTTCACTGTATGAATGAAAGAAATGCCCCGAGAGCAGCTCTGCGCCTCTACACCGACCGCAGGGAGCCTCCGACCGGCTGCCTGATGCCGCTGAGAGCCGGTTGGTGTTGCTGAACATCACCGGCCAACAGCAGCAGATTGCTCAGTTCTCTCTAACTGAAACTGTGCCTGCTAGCCACGGCTAAAGTTAGCTCCACTTAACTGAACCACAACCTTAATCTTTGAGAGTAATCGAACGTCCTTCAACGTTATCCACTAAACATAGGTCTGTGACAAGAAAAGACTAACCGGCGATGTCCTCTACTGAGGCGGCGGCCTCTCTGGTCGCCGGTTAAACGCATTAGGACACTCCGTCCACAAACCGAGCTAACGTTAGCCTGCTAGCAGTACACTAACCGAGGGGGGAGGAAATATGGCGACAAGCACAACAAGAAACTGCCTCGATTGAAAAAGGTGGCTTTTCCTCGGAGCACCACGGGTTGGTTTTGGGTTCTAACCTGCCCAGGCTGTAGGGGAAGGATACTAAAGAGGTGAGGACAGAGTGAGGATGAACTTACCTCGGTATTTTCACGAATTCAGCTTGTAAAAACAGCAGCAATGGCGGCGCGGCCTGCGGAGCGAAGGGGCAGTTAAATCCACATTCAGTCCGCTCATCCAACGGCGGCCGCGGCTCGCGCTGAACCGAGTATATCCTGAGAGTGACCGGCAGGTATCCAGGGCGACGGAGCCGGTACCGGGTGTTCTACTTTGATCAAAGTAAACACTGATCGGCAGGACTGTTTAGAGGCAGTTGGAAGTGGCAGAGCTCAGCGGCTGCCCGAGCTTCTCTTCCCCCAACAACAATGCGGTACGCTGTGTGAGTCGTTACGCCGTGACGTCACTGCGTACCAAACGTACAAACGAGAACCTGTTTTTTTTTTTTTTATTTATTTTACAAGCACTGAAGTACTATAATGATGACCAAATTTTATGCTGGAGTGGGAGATCGGGGGGGTGGGGGGGGGGGGGGGGGGGGGGGCGACTTCTGTTGTAATACACAAGTCGCTAAAAGTTTTAATTTTAAACAGCTTGGGAATAGGGCACCATGCAGAAACTCTTAACCTGTTTTATTTAAAAAATGACCTTTAATGCTTTTAGATTAAAAAACATTCATAACCTTTGAATAAGTCTATTTGAAGCTCAGGAGAGGCTCCTTCCAGCAGACTATGGTAAGACAGTCGGATATTTTACAAAATATGTCTACAAAACTTTTAAAGCTTTTAAATTAGCTTGAATCCAGGCAGATAAATTGTAGCAGGTAAGAAAATATATTAACAGTCAGTAGATGGCAGCACAATGAGGGTTTTATATTTATGTTTATTTTTATTGTATGCAGACAACACTGTCAATCACTTGGACTCATTTTATTAACAAAGTCATGGTCCTCAGTCAGGCAAAGTTACTATACACAAGGTTTATATTAACTTTGCCTGATGAAGGTCTAAGTACGGAGGCCCTGAGAGTCAAAAAACAACATTTCAGCCTGATGGATGAAGAATCTGTCACAATAACTCTACATAAAATCAGACAAAACAATAAAAAACATTCTCCCCTGATTGGACAAAAATCTGGTTCAGAGATCCAAAACATGTTTAGCCTAGCATAGCACAAAGGCTGAAAAATGGAGGATACTGCAGTAGATCAACAGTCTTCCCCTCGATCTGTCTCTGTGCTGCATGCACAGAAATAAAACTGATATCCATCTCCTTCTCTGTTAGAAAAGAAGAGACTTCCTCCAAATGCCAGACTGTTCCTTTAATGACAACGCTGTCCTTTGTCTCCTTGGTGTTTTTTCCACCAATAAGCAGCAGCGGTGAGGCGGATCAGGTGGACTCGGCCGGTGGTTCTGGCTCGTTTTGACTCTGGCTGGGACAGACAGATGGAGCGTCCTCTCTGGACAGCAGGTTGTTCTTGCGGAGGTGGCAGGCCTGCTGGTAGGGGGGGCAGATGGGCGGCTGAGTCGGGGGTGTGTACTGGTACTGTTTATCAGCATCCAGCTGAGGAGAGAAAACAGTCCGAGCGTGTTAGCATTCTAACATTAGATAATTAACACTAAGCACAGGTGAAGGAAGTGGGGATGTTTTGCAGGTATTAGTTCATAAAGTCAGTATTAGACTAATTTAAACTTTAATTTGAAAACACAGTAATTTCAAAAGCCCTTATAGCCCTTTTTGATGAGTACATGACTTTCCCCTTAATTTCAACATGAATATGAAATCCATAACAAATCCATAAATGACCAGGGATTTTTATTCAGCATTCAAGTATTTAATGATTTTATCCCAGGTTTAGAATACTTTAATGAATTGTCATGTATTCTACATAAGTTTGCATGGATTAAGGGTTTTTAGGAGATAAAAACCCCTAAACATTCACTGAATGACAAAACCCCAAATTCATCTCAGACTATACTAAACTATAGTATTTTTAATGTTGTATCTGCATAAATTTCTGGCCCAGATAACATGGGAGCCTGAATTTAAACTTTGTATGTGCCTGTATTTTTCAATTAAAATTTACAACATAACATTACATGAACCCCTAATTAAAACCTTTAAAGGACCTTTATTTTCAACTTCAGGGGTTCACCTCATTTGGTTCATTAATAGATAAACGAATGGATTATAATATATTATGGGTTTTCTTTAATGATTGGTTTAAGGGGTTTTTAAGGGATAAAATCCCCAAAATTAATAAAATTGATTTACAGATTTTCACTTTAACTGAAAAATTAGTGTTTTTACCGGAAAAACAATCAGTTCATTTATCCATTAATCTTTCTGTTAAAATCCACATAGAAAACATAATTACGTCATTTTTAATGGGTAAATTATGGAAAAAATCTATATGATCATGATAATTTAAAAACCACAGAAGTTGCAATCAGACTGAAACTGGAAAAACAACTGCTAAAATAAGAATAAAATGCCTGAACCATGAAGCACGTCTCAAGCTGCGTCTCGTCACCTGCAGAGGGTAGGTTCTGTCTGAGTCGAAGGCGCTGAGGTCACCGCACGCCAGGAAGGGAACAATGACACGGTTTGGACCCTCCAACTGGTTAAAGTCCACATCTGATGGACAGAGATCAGAACCCAGACTGAGAACAGATAGAGGAGAACCAGGACCAGGACCAGGACCAGGACCAGGACATGCAGGGAAACTAAAGACTGATTCATTGTTTGTTTAAACAGATGTGATTGTCCAAAGTTGTCTCAGGTGTGGTCTGGATGGTCCATTATAACCTGTTCTGAGTACACCTGCATTAACACAAGCTTTTCCTGATGCAGGTCAGATGTGCACACACAGACCACATCTGGAAAAGGGCTCATAGTTACCGTAGGAGTGATCCAGCAGAGGGTTGGACATGTTGGGGACGTATCCTTCAGGAGGACAGTAATTCTGACACACCACAAACGCCTCTACACACACACACACACACACACACACACACACACACACACACACACACACACACACACACACACACACACACACACACACACACACACAGGATGTCAACCGATTTCATGTAACCATCAAGGGTTCAGATCTGAATTCATGTGATAAAATCAAAAATTTAATTTTACTTTGGGCTAAAATTATTGTCAATCATTCTGCATGTCTCAGATTTGACTTCTTTTAAAAAAAGAACCTCAGGAAAAAACCTCAGTCTCCTGTTGGAGGCGTGTGATTGGTCAGCGGTGGCGGCGACTCACCGATACTGGAGTTCCTGCTGCTGCGAGGCTTCGCGCAGGTCACACCACTGAAGAAGATCTTCAGCTGAGAGTAGAGCAGCGTCACATCTTTACCTCTGAAGATCTGAGACACACACACACACACACACACACACACACACACACACACACACACACACACACACACACACACACACACACAGACTTTACTTTAGCAGGTCGCTCAGGGATATTAGCAGCTACAAGTACGTCTGCGTCTCATTTTGACATTTTACTTGTAGGTTTTTTTCTTTTTAATCCATCAGAACGTGATTGATTAACTTTCCTCTACTCGCTCCCCTGTAGCTCTTCGTTCTGCTAACGCGCAAAGACAAACAGAAAGAGGGAGACGCAGAGTACACACACGGTGGATATGTGTTTTTTATGAGACCACCAGGAGTCACCAAAACCACAAAGCTTCAGATGGCACAGAAATGCTTCACAGCTGATTTCCTTCTGTACAGATCTGGAATATGTAATAAATCAGATGAATAAAGTTGGACTCACTTTGGCCACAAACGTTCCTCCAGGCTTCAGGACGTGAGTGGTGATATTCAGAGCCTGAAACACAAGCAGCCGTCAGCGTGACATCACAAACGCACAGGTGAATACAAACACACCTCTGTAACTCACAGCCAATAGCAGCTGAGCCTGGATGTACTCGTCCACATCATGGAGCCCGGTTACTGTGGAAACACAACAGGAAGTAACTCCTGAGAGCTGAATAACAACCATATAGCAGGGAATCACAGGTGACTTAAGAGCAGGTGAGGACAGGTGAGGAGGTGAGCGTCTCACCGTCTGGAGCTCCGTCACACACCACCAGGTCGGCCGGCTGACCCTCAAAGTGACGGATGATCTCCTGAGCGGTCGACACCTGAGAGGAAGAAGAGGACACAGGTCATGTGACGAAGAGCTGCACTGAGCACGTTCTGCGAGTGTTCTCGAGGTTCTCCGTGTGTTTCCGTCTCAGATATCTGTCATTATAAAGGTTATCAGGATTATCATTGATTTTCTATCAGGTTTCCAGGTTCCTGCTGGGGCCGACACAAACCGGTCAGTGGTATAAAACGCTGCCCAGCACGTCAAAGCAGTTTGCTTCACTGCAGAATTGTGATCCATTATTTTTCTATTATAATGAAACTCTAACAACTCCACTAAAATGTCACATGTTGCTACAAACTGAGCTAATATGTGAATAAATTTGAATAAAATGATTTTTGAATTTGAATAAAATTTGAATAAATGAATAAATTGTCCTTACTTAGTGACTACACTGTTTCAGTCAGCTGTTACAACTTTAACTGTTTGAAGAAATTACTGATAATATGTATAAATTGTATAAATTAATATGTATAATTGTATGTATGTAATGTCCAAAAATATACACTAAAGTTTTTACACATAAACTTAAAATTTATTTTGCAACAAATTCCTGAAAGAAAACTTAAAATTCCAGGTGAGTTGTAAGAACTTGATGATGAGTAATAATAAGTATCTAATATGAATCTTTAAGGATCTCAGGAATTCTCTGTTTGAACATTTATCATTGCATCTTGTTTGATCTTAAGGAAACTCCTTAAGACTCATGACACCAGCGGATACAGTTGAATGTGACATTTGTGGGCGAATCATGTGTTTTGTTGATTTTTGAAGTGAAAGGAAGCAAAAGAACCTCTGCTGTAAACGGACATTAACATGAGCCTTTTTGTAACTGTTACTTTTTATTTCATTCGGTTAAAATATTGGGGAAAATGTCGATATGCACTGTTTGTGGCATCGTGAAGCTCCTGCAGTGGAACAGGACTCTCAGACAACATCTCCTCACCTTGGTGATGTCTCCCTGGATCTGAGTGACTCCTGGCAGAGGAGCCATGGCCTGAAGGTCCACCGCGACGATCTTCACCTCCTCACCCCCTGCGCCCTTCTCAGCCTTCTCCTCCCGACCTCTGAGTGGGAAATAAAAAGATCACTATTATTATTATTAAGATCTGTTTCATTTCATTAGGTCGGGATTTAAAATCTTTGATTTTATGTTGTATGAAAATACAATTTGTGTCCAGGTGAGGATATGTTCATTTAGAACAAGAAACAAAAGAAACCTGAGTTTCCGACTGAGGACCTGACTCCAGCTGCCAGGAGCTGCACACAGATCCACCGCTCTGTTCACACCTGAGAGAGAAAGAAGAAGTAAGTCAATGCACTTTTGATCAATCAGACATTTGTTAATAAAACAGCAGAGGGTTCTGTGGGTCTCACCTGTGAACAGGTTGAATTCGTGGTCGAGCTGCAGCAGCTTGAAGGCGCTCCTCGCCCTCCAGCCCTCCTCCTTGGCCAGACGGTAGTAAATGTCCCGCTTGTCTTTGGAGGAGCGACCCATCCTGACCACCAACTGATGGAACACACACACACACACACACACACACACACACACACACACACACACACACACACACACACACACACACACACAAGCCTCATTTACACTGGTCTGTCTTCTTTCAGAGGTATTACTGCCTGTCTGGATTATTTTACATCACATCGTGTTTGTTATAAAACTGACTGATCTATCTTCTGTTTTTGTAAATTTTTTACCATCATTTTATTCTATTTCATGTAAGGAAAAAAAACAAAAAAAGCCAAATTTTCACACAAATAAGTGTTTTTTTGGTTTATTTTACGTTAGCCGAATTATAGAGCACATCATAGTGATTGTACAAATGTATTTACTTATAATTTAATGTACATTTATCGTGCGGGAAATCGGTTAACATTGTCTCATTCCATTTTTAAACGGAGATTGGTGTCGAGTGAACAACAAACGACAGATTTCATTATTGTCTGAGCTTGTTGCCTGGTGTTAGGTCAGTGTCAGTGTCTGTGTTAAATACATACACATTTATTCCAAAGAACACAGACACAATAATAACACTATAGCTCATTCAAACAGACTTTCTGAGTCATTTTACTCACTGTTCACGTGTCGTTCTGATGTTGACGACGGAAGGACCCGTGACGCACGGTGTCCCGGAAGCGCCTGTTCAAAATGACGTAAACTCCATCTGTGCCTTAAAAAATAAATGTTTATATTTTAAAATAATACCTAAACCAAAGCCTAAACGTTAATTTGACGATTCTATCAATGCATCTAAATATATATTTCAAGCCGCAATCTATGTGTAAACACAGTGATCTTTTATCATGTTTTAACGTAATTTCACACGTTAACGTACAGCAACAATCCAATCAACCTCAAACTGAAACGTTGTTGTTTTTTAAATTCATTATTGAAAAATACTTTACAATATGCAGACGGATAGATAACTGTATGAATGAAGTTAATGAAATTTAAGACATGATTTATTATTTATTTCTTTATTTTTCCCTTCAGTACTTCCCAGCCACACGGTGTCGCTGCAGATAAACTAAAGTCCTTAAACTCCAACAGCTTTCAAGTGACAGGATATTTTTATTTTTCTGTATGAAAAAAGTGACACACAAAAGCAATACATACAGAAACAATAAGCTAATATTACCGCATGTACTGCATTTATTTACAGTTTCAAGGTATTTGTACTTCACTAGAACTTCCATTTTCTGCTACTTTATATTTCCACTTCACTACATTTCATTTGTGCTTTTTACACCTTTACTAGCTGCAACATTAAAGTGATGCTTCAACATTAATGCATCCAGTTACAACCATTTACATTAAACATATCTAATATTATAATGAAATGGGCCACTTTGCATATAGACTACTTTTATAGTTGGTACTCTAAGTATAATTTGGTACCAATACTTTTACTTTAGTAATATATTTAATGTGTAATGTTGTGTAGTATTTCACAATATAATTTTGATGGAGCTCTTAACACTTAAACTGAGAAATGATTGTTATGGACAAGTTATTTTACTGTAATTTTCCGTCTCCCTAGAATTTTCAGTTTATTTGATTACATTTACAATATTAAGGTCCGTCTTAAAATATTGTAAACGCAATGAATATTCTTATATCAATGACTCTCTGAACTGATTTTAAGGAGATTTAGCATCAAATAAAGTTTGGAGAGACCAACGTAATACATAAAAACATTAAAAAGTGAGAATAATTAGTAAGTAATGTGGATGTTACAGAGGAAAGTTAGAGTTTCAAATGAGACAACACGAAGAAAATCAGTTTATATACAAAAAGTTTAATTTGAAATATTTCCATGAAAAAATACTTTTTCCTGTCAGAATTTTACATTCAAAACATCAAAAACTGTAACAAATAGAACGAAAATTAGTATAAACTTTTAAACCTGACTTGAGAATATTCAAACCTGACTTTTCTTCTTTTTTAGCTCACAGGAAAAAAAAATTTACAAAAATGAGAGAAAAATGTTATAAAGGTTAAACAGAAGATAAATAAATAAACACAAGCTGAGGAATGTCTCCGTAAATAAATAAAAACACTCAATGTACAAGATAGACATAAAAATCAAATACATATATTCAAAACAAAAAAAAAACAAATACATATATTCAAAATACAAAACTAAGTTTTTGCATTGACTGTGCATTTTACACCCCGAGACTGAGGGTGAAAGAAGATGGAGGACAAAGTGTTTCCTGTGAGAGAGAGAGAGAGAGACAGAGAGAGAGAGAGAGAGAGAGAGAGAGAGAGAGAGACAGAGAGAGAGAGGACAGAAAAAAAAACTTGATTCGACTGTACTAGCCGTGGAATCTCAGTACATTGTGAGAACTAAAAAAAAAAAAAAACAAGTGTTTTTGAGGAATCCACATTGAAATTCTGGTATTGACACAACCATCCAAAAACACCGAGCCCTGCTTGAAGGAAGAAACTGAGAAAACCCATCAAGTAAACAACTGTTGAAATGAAATTCTGCCTCCTATCCGAGCTTGAAGCTAACTTCAAGCTCAGCAGGACGTCAGAGGCGTCAGTGGTTAAAGTCCACAGTGAAAACTGGATCAGATTCACTTCTTTAAATCAGACATGTAGCCTGAACTTCAGTCAGGAAGACTTCTCAGACAAAGGTAAACGCTGAAGGATGAAGAGATGTTTGTTACATGAAGGAAATTAAAAAATAAATACATTTTTTAAAAAAGGATCAAAAAGTCATGTTTTGGTATCAGAACTACCCAGAACCAGTCCCAGCCCTCCAGAGTAGTGTGTGTGTGTGTGTGTTATGAAGTGATAAATATGTATTCAAGTATTCCACATCAGCAGGTGAGGATGCTTCGCTGCCTCAGCGCTCATATTACAAGATGGGAGGGGTGTATTTTGGGGTTGGACGGAAAACGTTCTTGAAACGTATGAGTTTTAGAGTTTGGGAAATTTGTTTATTTGCTTTCTTGCAAGAGAAGACTGATGCAACACTAGTCTGTACGACACGTATGAGGCTAACAGCAGCAGCTGCTTAGCTTAGCGCAAAGACTGGAAACAAAGGCAAACAGCTAGCCTGTTTGTTTAGCCTCTACAAAACCTGAACTGTAAGGCAACATTTTAAAGAGGTTATGAGTGGAAGAATTTCTTGTTCTGGCACCTGCTCAGAGCCACATGACTGTTGTAAAACTACAAATCATTGTTTTGACAATTTGGTTTTTACACAGATTAAAGGTGTAAGATATGATGTAGTAATGATGGAGTAATCAGCGCTGAAGCCGGTGTGATCCCATCGCGAGACCTCTAGTGTTACGTTCAGACAGGACCAGACTAGCCACTCCCCCGTTTCTGGTCTTTGTGCTAAGCTAAGCTAACTGGCTGCTCGCAATAGCAGCATATTTTCCACACAAATAAGTGTGATATTGATCCTCTCATCTAACTCTCGACAACAAAGCATATAATCATATTTCCCAACTGTTCCTCAGGGCCGGTTGATCTGGCTGAGTGGAAATGGAGTTTAAACACAACTGGGGGTGAAACAATTAGTCAAATGAGTGATTAGTTGTTTGAAAATTATCAGTAACTATCTTGATAGGTGATTAAATAGCTTTTCAAGCAAAATCCTTGCTAGTTTAAACATGAGAATTTTCTGCTTCTATCACTGTAAACTGAACGTTTGGGATTATGACTCTAAACAATCGGATGAACATTTCTCCACTATATTGTGAGATTTAACAGACGAAACAATCACTAGACAAAATCATTGACAGGTTGATTAATAGTGAAATATATGTAGTTGCAGCCCCATAGACGATTATAACATTTCAGGTGTGTTCACCTTTGTTCTGTTGTACTGATGTGACCCCACATGGCAGCTACAGAGTTGCTGAGTGAGTTTTTTTTACATCTGATTTGACAACGTTTTATATTTCAAACATCAGGATTCTTTTGAGCCTCTGAAGAAAACTCCAACCCCCGACCATGGTGTTACTCCACCCACAGCAGCTTTTAAAGTCAAGGCACTCAAGCAGCAACACTAAATGGAGAACAGGTGTTCTGCTCCATAGTCTGAACAGGAGGGGGCGCAGTGGACCAGCACTGAGTCACCTGCATCCTGAACTGTGACCATGACTCACTCCATCACCACAAAAAAAAACTTCCTTGGAGCAACAACCCCACGATCACGAGGAAACTCAAACACCAGAGGACACCTGTCGATCAAGTCCAAGCCAAGCCCCTCAGGTGCATCCAATCAGAGGCTCTGCTGGCTCGAGGAGGAAGACGAGGAGGAGGAGTCGGCTGTAATGTTGTGAAGAATGATGCTGCCGTCGTCTGTCTGCTGACCGTCGCTGCTGGTCACCCAGGGGTGGAGGAGGATCTGTTCCAGGGTTGGCCGTTCAGACGGCTGCTGGCTCAGACACCAGCCAATCAGCTGCTGGCATTCTGTGACACAAACACAAGTAGGTGAAGAAGAAGGATAGGAAGTAACACACTGCAGTGCCAAAGAACTAACAGGCAGAGCGGACACGTCATACTCGGACTGACCTGTGGAGATGTTGCGTCTGAAGTAGATCCGTCCCCTCAGGATCTCCTCGTCCTGTTCAAAGGGGATGTCCCCGCACACCATGTCGTACAGCAGCACGCCGAGTGACCAGACGGTGGCGGAGCGACCGTGGTACCGCCGGAACCGGATCCACTCTGGAGGACTGTACACCCGTGTTCCTGGAAGGAAGAGGGACGTCATAAAACAGAGATCTGAGTCACAACTGTTCAGTGAGTGTGCAGAGCGGTGGTGGTGGGGAAACACCGGCAGCAGGAGGAAGCAGTGACTAATCATCACCATCATCATCATCATGCTGCCTGTTAGCAAGGGCTGCTGGTCACAAGAGAAGCAGCTGGTGCCTCTGATAAATACTTCCTGAGCAGAACAAAGACGCTGCTCATCTGTTCTCACCAAAGTAAACAGGACTAGTGTCTGATGAGAGGGTCATCCTGTGACCTACATTCTGGTTTCACAGTCAACATGAAAGCATGTTTTGTCATTAGACGATGACACAAACACACACAGGTTTGATCCCCTGTACTCTAGTCTAACGTGACGCTAGCCAAATCAAAACCCTCAGGAACCAGACCAAATGTCTGTTTTCCAGAACTGTCACCACTTTATCGAAATTCCTTAATATTTCACTTTTCCAAAAAAATAGCTCTATCAGTTCAAAGATGTCACAACTTAACAAAAATTCAGACTTTCTAAAAACCTTCCTACTTTTCCACACACAATAAAAATGACAACCTTACAAAAAAAAATTATATTTTTACACACAGACATCTTTCTAAAAACTGGCCCCACTGTTTAAAAACATCCACAGTCTTAGTTTCCCCAACTTTCAACAAAGTGTTTTTAATTTTAAAAAGTTGACATGTTGTGAAATTTTAATTCAGAGGGATAGAAGTACAAGGACAGACAGGACTGTTTATGTTGTTGTCTTGGTTACGCTGACAATCTTATTCACAAAATTAAAAGATTCTGCCCAGACACTTCCTGATCTTTTTCCCCAACCTTACAAAAACCACACCAACGAAACAAAGTCATGATAATGACTTTGTGTTGTTGTTGTTGTTGTCATGGCAACTGGATCAAGGCGATTAGACTGGTCAGTCTAGATGATCAGACTCACCATCGAAGTCGGTGTAGGCGGTGTCTTTGAGGACAGCCCCTGAGCCGAAGTCAATGAGCTTGATCTGTCCGGTCCTCAGGTCCACGAGCAGGTTCTCGTCCTTGATGTCTCGGTGGACGACGCTGCAGGTGTAGCAGTGACGCACCGCCTCCAGTACCTGCAGGAAGAAGCCACGTGCCACCGCCTCATCCAGCGCGCCGCGCTCTGTGATGTAATCGAACAGGTCCTGAGCCGCCTCGGGACGTTCCATCACCATCAACCAGCCGTCCACCCGCTCCCACCAGTCCAACAGCCGCACCACGCCGCCAAATGCCCCGCCCACTTTCTTCAACAGCACGATCTCCAGAGGAACCACAGTGCCACACTGAGAAAGCATCAAAGAGAAAATTATCAACTCACTGTCCATAAAATTACCAGAGCTGCAACAATTACTCAATTAGTAGAATGGCAGAAAATCAATCAAGAACTATTTTAATAATCGAATAATCATTTTAGTCATTTATAGGCCTCTGAAATGTGAGGATTTGATGCTTTTCTTTGTCGTGCATGACAGCAAACTCAACATATTTGGGTTTTGGACTGATGATCAGACATGACTAGACATCTGAGGACATCACCTTGGGAAACTGTTGCAGGCAGTTTTTATTACTGTCTTACATTTCATAGATAAAATGATTAATCAAGAAACAAATAACGGAGAATGAAAATATACAATACACTATCATTAATTTCAAACTGTTTCACATCAAAATGCTAATCAAGCGATAAATCTGACAGGAAGTGGCAGTAAACATGTTAATCTGCAAGTGAAAATGCAGGAAAATCTCACCAGGGTGCCCCACTCAGTGACTCTGTCCCTGCACACATGTTTCACCGCCACCTGCATGGAAACATTAACATTAACAACATTAACACACAGCCTCCATACAGTCACCAATGACATATGAACATACAGGAATTCTTATTCAAAACAAAAAAAACATGATAAACAGTTTATATGAAGCACAACAGCAGCTATAATATAAATCTGTAACTGAACAGTACCACAAAGCTTTTAATTTACTGCCTCTGTCTTTAAATGTTTTTCTTTATTTGTGAATAAACATGTTTTCCCATCTGTTTTGTGTGATACACGTAACTACTTCCTGCTCCCAAAGACTAAAAAGCAAAACAACAGGATTATTTTTCAGTATGTGCAGAGAGTGAAGCTCAACAAAACACCACTTTCTTTGTGAAAACAAAGACCACATGCAGACAGCATGGCACTGCATCAAGCTGCAGGACTGACAACAATACAACAGGAAGTGAAAGAATAGACGTGACCTTCCAAATAAAAGCACATGATGTTGAGTTCTTGTTGAAAGCAGCAGCTGTCATAATCTGAAAATGCTTTAGTTCAGTCAGTCCAGATACAAACTGGTAGGTTTAGATATTTAGCAAAGCCATAATTTTATTAAAATTAAAATATTTAAAATCATGTAAAACATCACAACATTGATTAAATGGCTGGAGATACAACAGTGGACTGAGGACAGATGGTACATCCCACAGTAAAGTGAATAAATTAAACTACAGAATAAATCATTGATCTACCAACTGTTCAACAGTTCCTGCAATTAACATTCAGCATCACCAGAACCATCTGGGTGATGATGACTCAGTCATCATGTGGTGAATTATTAATCATAGGTCACAAAACGATCAGCTGAGGAGGAAGCTCCAAGATCTGCCATGACTTCTGCCAAACATCATGTGATTTGCATAAACACACACACGCTGATTCATTTCAGGTCTGTAAGGAAACTATTAATACTATACATGCTGGATGAAGACCTCAAGTCTCAAGCCTGTTCCTTCCTCAGGAAAAAAACTGTTTTTATATAAATCTTAAAGCTGCAATAATTAACTGATTATCGGATTAGTTGATCAAGACTATTAATTACCTACCATCTTAATAATCAATTAACTATTCAAATTGATTTTTATGCAAAAACTCCAAAACTTTTATGTTTACATTTTCTCAAAATGCAAAACTTTCTGCTTTTCCTTGTCCTGCGTGATAGAAATTCTAGTATTAGTCAGACAAAGTAAGACATTTAACGAGGCCATATTTGGCTCTAAGAAATTAGAGAAGCAGACAACTGATCAATAAGAAAATAGATAAATTGATTATCAACTATTTAAATAATGCTATGGTGAGTTTGACAACTAATGTTTCCAGTGTCATTGTGATTTTTTTTACTGCGTGTAAATAAGTAAGTACAATGAAATGTTCTGTCAGCTACTGTTTCCAAGGTTTAGAAAGAATATTCAATCTCTAATAATATTTTTGAAGACTTTAGAGTTGCTTTTATTTTGAAGGACACAGCCGGAAACGCAGCTGATGGCTTTATGTAACTTGACGCTTCGAGCCGCGGCCATGTGTCGGGACCAAAACAAAGCATCTCTTACCGGCAGCCCGTCGTCCAGGCGGACAGCCGAGTAGACGGTGCCGAATCCTCCGTTGCCGAGCACCGAACCCAGCCGGTACAGTTTCTCAAACGGCTGCTTCTCCGCCTTGGCTACAAAACACAGAAAGAAAAGGATTATTTCAAATTATTTGCACCCTGTAGAGCTTAGCGCCAAAAATCGTCCCACCAAACCCCACCAAAAACCGTCTATCCGTCTATGTGTTCTTGTTTTACCGCTTCAGTCTAACACCGAGCTGTTTATATACGATTTAAAAAGTAAAGCACTTAATTCAACAATAAACTGTCCAAAAATCACCGAATACACACGAGTACATAAACAAATGTCCTCAGATGACTCCTGTTGTTTATGTGTCTGCCGTTTAAAAATGGAGGACTGTCCAGCATTATCATCATCTCAAATACCCACTCTTTAAATTGTGTTACACGAATAAAGTAAATAAAAAATACCATTTTAACAGAGGAGACAGATTTACTACGAGGTTACAACACATTTTGGCACAACATCTGTCTTTCAAAATGGCTCCACGCGGTTTTATTTAAAGGTCATCCTCTAACAAGCGTCCACTAATCGATTGGTGCAATAGAAATGTATTAATTTAATAATTATTACAATTTCTCCACTAAAAACACCAACTTTAGCCTGTGAAGGCCTTTAAAACGTGAGGTATATAATATGATGCTTTTGATCATTTCGGCTGAAATGATTCGAGTCCATGTGGGTTTTATGGTGATTTTTTAAAATAAAAACAGTAAACACGCACTTGAATAATACAGTCTGGAAAATGGCGGTTAGTTTCTGTCATTTTCGCCAGTTAGTTGTTGAATTGCTCGTACACGTGTTACGCCGGTTTATGTGACCGGTTCGCATCAGTGACCTGGTTAGTTATTTCAGGTTAGTTGGATCTATTTTGGGTTAAGGTTTTGGTTAGGCGTCCAGAGATTAGGTTAGGTAAGAGGAAAGTAATCGGTTCACAGGAATATAACGGGTCACAGAACACGACGTAACACCGGCTGGCATGTTGCCGTTAACAGCCTTACCTTGCTGCAGCTGGAGCTTCGCCGGTAGATCCGTGCTGTGAGAGAAGGAACCCAGTTTAGAGAGCAGCATACTGCCCCTGACTTCTCCCCAAAAAAAAACGAAAATACACCTGGAAATTGTTCGTGTAGTAAACCCAAACCAGCAGCGAAATCGTACGCCCTTTCGCGGGCGAAACGAGATTAAAAAACGGTTAAATCCATCAACGTCCCGGCCATTCACACACAACAGACACTACTCCAGCGTCCAGTGAAGCGCGCGCCCCTGTGCTGCTCCGCTCCGACCGCTTGGATATTTACAAAGATCACATATATCATTCCGCCTGACCTCCGCTGAACATTAAATAACACCACCGAACCTGCCGCTTTACACTCACACAACCACACCAGAGAAATGTTAGTGTGTGGAGTCGTATCAATTCACGGCGGAGCTTAAGTCTGCGACCTGGAAAAGCAGCCCTAAACAACGAGAAAACATACGGACTACTTTTACGTAGTAGGGCAGGCGGAGGCATTCAGAGATGGTCACTCACTCTGGCAGTGCTGCGGCAGAAGAGAGCATCTTCAATAATCACTTGAGAAGGTTTATATTCAAAATAACAGCAATAACTAAGTATGGTTTTGAGGTATTTTTACTTTACTCGTGTATTTCTCTTTTATTCTATTTCATACTCCTACCCCACTAAAATTCAGAGGGAAATAGTGTGCTTTTTATGCCACCACATTTTTTTTAAAGCTTAAGCACCTAGTTACTTTGCAGATACCAATTATATACTATTTATACAATACAAAATAAAATCAAATACATTGTGCTGTGTTATTATAGGTTAAACTCCTCAGAAATATACACAGTAGTTAAAATGAGTCACACATTTACTTGCTGCAAAACATCAAAAATGATGAATACATTAATGTAAACAAAATTATAATCCAATAATGTAGGTTAATATAAATGATCTTTGACATAGCCAACTCTACGCAATGAGTCCTTTTGTTGTTGGTAAATAAAATACCCAAGTACTTCTTCCATCACTGGCAAATTCACATTAATCTGTGATTTTGCAGAAGTTATTCTGTGGTACAGCGTTATTGTTTGCTTTCCAGCAGTGGTGGAAGAAGTATTGAGATACTTAAGGTAATGTAACAATACCACAATGTAAACATAGTCCGTGACCAGCAGAAGTCCAGGATTTAAAATAATGTAACAATCATTAGAGCAGTTGCCTCTATTATCAATTATGTTCTCTTACACACTCCCATTATTATTGTTATTCTGTGTCTTTTTTTAAATCATCCAGGACTCAAATATCATTTATGTTACAAATGATGTTCATATATCAACACATATAATTATATAATTAAATACAATACAAGCCTATTTACACATCCAGCAGTTACGGAGCAACATTATCATTCATTCTGAGTCATGTTTATGTCCACCTGATGAATCTAAGTCCAGTATTCCCTCTCTTTCAGCTCTGTTTTTGGTCTCCTCCATCTTTTCTTCCTGGGGAAAATATCTGTTTCTTTAGCTACTAAATGCTCCAGTATGTTCACCAGCTGGTCTCTAACTGTGTCTGTCAGCTGCCTGCTGCAGCCGAATGTGACCATTTTCACATTGTCATTTGATTTGATATATTTGGATCAATTGTTATGAGTTATACAAAGCAGTAATTAAATGCATTGTAAACCTCTAAAATAAATTCACATGCTGGTAAGTTTTAATTAGCATGTCTGTGGGCTTTAAAACTTACAAGCATAATTAATTTTAGAGCCATTCAGCCTGTACAGTACATTGAAAGTCATGCTGTACAAATAATTTTCCATCCCTGGCAGTCAGCACCAGTGCTTCCAGCAATCAATCAAGAGAAATGCTGAATATTTTCCAGCTCTCTGTTCCCTCACTCAGCATTCTGGCTGCTCTGTTGTGGATCATGTGCGTCCCCACTTTTTGCCGCCTGACATCAGCTTATGTAAGACAGTGTGTGTTACTCAGAGTTACATAAGCCTGCAAAATGAATGAGATCAACCTCACTAATGAAGCAGCAGAAATATATATTTATTTATGCAACACAGTAATTTGCATTTGCATTTCAAGCTGAGAGTGTTTAGCTGACCGGAGTCACAGCATGGGACCACAGCGAGCTGAGGCTGAATTACTGCTGAGTCATCACACACTGATTCAGCTCTGAACCAGAAACACACCTGAAAGGTGAACACCATGTCTGACAGAAGGGACACATACATGAACTAAAATAACAAGACGACTGTAAATAATGATGTTTTTGGTTTTTAAAAGTCTCAGCATTTTCCTAAAACAGCTGGTAGTTGTTAACATTAACTCACTCTGGTGACTTCTGTTTTTTTTTTTAAACAAAGACAATTTCTAATTTATTTTTAGCCATGCAGCGTGTCAATAGAGAACTGAAGTGAAACTGGAACTTCCATGTTTTGTTTCTGAAATGAGAAAACCTCATTCAAAATCCCACTGACATAATGGCAGTAACTAAAAATACACAACAAACTTTTTGTCAACAATAATGTTTTGTGGCTCAAATTATACATAGCAAAATGAAACTTCTGGCCCAACATATGCCCGGGTCCTCGGCCCGAGTCTGGCCCATATTCTTCCACATCTGGGCAGAGACTGACTCTTATCCTCCAGTGTGTCTGGCAGCCTGAAGATTTTCTGTTTGTGTGTCAGAATTGGAAGTAGCATCTTACCATCATGATGTATATGGGCCAGATTCGGGCCGTGGAACCGCGCATATACTGGGCCAGAAGGAAATAAGCACGTGGCCCAAGTTTGTGAGCCAGATTTATTTTTACTATTTTAATGTTTAGATAAGGACATACATTTTTTGAAAAACCATCTAATATTGTTCTTTATTTTGTATTCATGTTTTATAGTGGCCTTTAAAAAACACCATTTCCCAAAGGCCTTAGACATCTGTGGGTTAATGCTGCATTCACTCAATGTCGGAAGAATGGGACAGGAAAGACTTCACACATTATTCCGAGGTGGTTAGCTCTAGTGCTAACTTTGCAGTCACACCAGGTTAGCTACTTTTGTGTAATGATATCTTGAAATGAACTTTAATTCAGTTTTTTCTTCTGTCCATTTGGAGGCGACAGAATAGTCTGAAAAACAAAACATGGGATGTATTATCATCTTGCAAAGTAGGCGTGGCTAACATGTTAGCAAACCGCAACCTATCCTTTTAGCTCTGGTTTGGTCTCCACCAGAAAAACATGTGCCTCTGAAAAACTGAAACTGAACCCGACAGTAAATGTGCCATAAAACCAAAGATTATTCTATTACATTTCTTCTTTAGCTCCATTTTTTTCATCAGTTTATACATTTGTCTGTGTCTTCTTCTGTCGTGTTATAACTGTGAGGACCGGAGCAACACCTGCAGTCGACCAGATCAAAACAAGGGTTGCTGCTGGAGCCAGTGGGATTTTTGTGACTGAGGGAGGGAGGGAGGGAGTGGTGACCGGATCACATGACCTACTGTAGTATTTGTGCCCCAGCCAGTTCGAATGTAGGTCAGCCCCTCCTCCTTCACTGTAAGTGCATGTTCGGAGACAGATTGACAGAAAACAGGTTTAAACACGCAAACAGAGAAGTGCTTTTGTTCTGCTGAGACATAACAAACATCTTCGAACTGATCTGAGCTCACGTCCACACACACAAACACTCGCCTGATGATCACGAGGTTAGACATCACACCAGTGTTTCAGTTTTTCACTATTTACATCACCCACACATCTACAGCAGAATGATCCCATGATGTGTTGACTTAAAACCTGCCTCAACATCTGTTCAGGAAATTCAGAGTAGTTTATTTTCTCATTACAGTAGTATCTCAGCCATCAGCGAAAAACAGCCTCTACTCTGTTTGTGGAGAAAAGAAGGAAAGAAAGACGTCAGAGGAAGCTGGAAATCATGAGCCACTTGATCCAAAAGCTCCAGTTTCTTGTGTGTGATATCACAGATTTTTCTTGATTTGTAATAATCAAGTGGAATACCCCAAAAACAACATTTATATATGTTCAAGCTCCTGAGCAGCCTGAGTATTTATAACTCTAGGAAAAAGGATACACAAGGGAAGGTTGGATCAGCAAAGTATTGGACATTTTTCGTAACCATTCCTACAATTGTTCCTGTCTCACTATTGTAACCATGACAACAAACATCCCCTAACCCTAACAATGCAGTAGGCTAGTTTTAAACCAAACCACGACCTTTCCCGAAACCGACCCAAGTTGTTTTTGTGCCTAAGATTAACCGAACCTTCACCTTAGAGTTTGAAATGGCAACAGATCGGGAAATGCTCACGTGTCTTTCTGCACAGAAAGGACTAACGTGTATTTTGACGTTTAATTTGACCTGCAGAGGTTTTATCTTAAGACAGTTGAACCTGTCAAGTTTTTACACGTTAAGTTTTCACCAGACGGGACCAGAAATTGTAAACAACAAAGTAAGTAAGAAAAAGTAGAAATCAATTTTCAACAGTTTAATGTCAGTTTTCATTGGTTTCTTCACTTCTGTTGTTCAGGTAAAAGAAAATATCTCAAAACCCTTTTACAACTCAAACCAAGACGATCATCATATATTCAAGCTCAGATTCTGTCTTGGACACAGTTACAAATAAAGGACAAATAAAATCTGAATTTGTATCAAGCCATGACAGTAGTCTTGAGTTTGAGTTGTAGGTGATGTACTTTGTTCTGCTAAAACTCTACAGGTAAATCAGAAAACATGTTCTTTGTGATTTGGGCGAACTGACCCTTTAGGTTTGCAGCAGCAGCAGGTATCACTATCTCTGCATGTGCTTATTGCCCTCCGGTCCACAACATGAATGTGACTCGGGTCATTTGTTCTCGTCTATGTTTAGCTGCTTCTATTTTGAAAGCTGTGAAACAAATGATCCTCCCAGAAGAGTGAAGCGGCTTCGTGCTGGGTCACTTCGATTCCGGCTCCGCTTCAAGACTCTTTTTTTTTTGGATCTGCTTCAGCCTCTTGAGTCATTTTCATGGAGGATGTTTTCAGAGAGCAGTAATGTCAGCGCACAGCAGTGAACCAGAGGACGGCAGCAGCTGGGAACCTGCAGACAGTGGAAGGTTTCCGCCTTGTTCTGCTTCTGGTCTCGTCTCAGCGAGGTTAACTCTGGTGGTTGGGGACACTCACTTCTCCGAGGAGAAGATGTTACTTGTTCAGAGCTGCGACTACTTCCGAGCTCTGTATCGCTCCGGGATGAAGGAGTGTCGGCAGGAGGAAATCCACCTCAAGTCTCTGCGAGCCCGAGGCTTCCTCATTGCCTTGGCGGTTCTACGAGGGGAGATGCCGGTCCTGGATGCCGACGACATCGTTGAGGCCATTGAATGCGCCGCCTTCCTGCAGGTGGCGCCGCTCACCAAACACCTCATCAACCTCATCGACTCTGATAATTGCCTGCTGATGTATCACACTGCTGCAACCTTCGGCCTCATGGATCTGTACCGCACCGCCGCGCTGTTCATCCGAGACATGTACGGCGACCTGGAGGCAGAGGTCAGGAAAACTTTACCGGCTGAGCTGATCTCCTACGTGGAGTCTCTGACCCCAAGTGTTTTCGTGGCTGTAGGCGCCCACGTGACCTGCGGCGTGGATGAAACCATACACGCTGCCTCCAGGACGGTCTGCTACCTGGATGAAACTGGCAATAATTGGAAAGTGTTAACAGATCTTCCACTAGAGGCCAGCACCTCCATGGCTGGAGTGACCGTTTTAGACAACAAGCTCTACATAGTTGGAGGAGTTCATGGCGTCCACAAACAAGTTGTGGACTCTTGTTTCTGCTACAGCGTTGAAAACAACAGCTGGAGCCGGATCCCCGGTCCGGCACAGCTGCGCTACAATCTCAGCCTTGTCGGTGCAGACAGTCGGCTTTACGCCATCGGAGGAGAATACGAGCGAACGGTGATGTCATCTGTGGAAATGTATGATATAAAGACCGGGAGCTGGACGTTCGCCGCTCACTTACCTCGGCCAGCGGCGGGAGTGGCATGCACCAAAGCTATGAGAAGAATATTTGTGTGTCTATGGAGACCGATGGAGACCACGGAGATCTACGAGTATGTCCCAGGAAAAGACGAATGGCGGCTTGTTACCACGCTGATCAGGCACCAGAGCTACGGCCACTGCGTGGTCGGCCACAGGGACAACTTGTACGTCATGAGAAACGGGCCGTCTGACGACTTCCTGCGATGCCTCATGGACTGTTACAATCTAAGCTCGGGCCAGTGGTCGTCGCTGCCGGGACACTTTGCCAACAGCAAAGGTTCCCTGTTCACCGCCGTGGTGAGAGGCGACTCTGTGTTCACCCTCAACAGGAGCACGACTCTGGAGTACGGCGTCGACGGGAGAACCTGGAAGCCCCGACGGCAGATGAAGGGTTTCCCCAGAAGTGGATCGGTGTGGACGTTTCTGCTCCGGCTGCCAAACTCTGTCACGCTGCAGGAGTGACTTCATTTGAATGGATTGGATTGGAATATGATTTTTTATACTGACCTACACTCCGATAAATGTAAAGGACGGTTACCATTTATTACAACTATGGGGGTTCATAGTCAGTAATGATAATAATGTTCTCACCAAGGTGTTTGCTGAGATGTGGGGACAAGGTGACAACCTAAAGAAGTCAAACATGGTCTATGAATGGTGTTTCCTGTAGCACTGCCCTCTTGTGGTTGGGTTAGGGTAAGGCTGGGTTTAAGACGGAGTTAGGGGAAACAGATGTAATGTCTTGTATCCGGTGATCTGATTGACGCACCAATTGATAGTCATTGGACAGATAATTAATAATGCAGTTCAGTAGGTGTGTCCTATCCTTCAGGTTAATCTATATATTTCCACACTGTCATTATCCCAAAACCAATGAAACATAAGTGCAGGCCACATATCCGTACGTGTTAACTAAATCTTGGTATTAGCCACATTTCCACAAAATAGAAGTCAACAAAACACAACTGTGAAATGTTCTGTGTTTCCACTTAGTGATGTTATGTGAATAAATCTGGGTTTTCAGTCATCATTCCAGTTAAACATGGCGACAGCATCTGCTAATTCTTAGGACGATTGCATCCTCTGCAGTAGCCGTTGTAGTACCGCTATGGTTTTTGCCGCACTTGTAAAAGTAGATATTCAGACGATTGTACAGCTGATGTTGCCCAGCTGTTTCCAGGCGGTAAGGGCTTTATGGTTCGCGCTCCACCAGGTGAGCTACCGGGGACCCTTGAGGGACCCTTGAGGGGGCTCCTGGGGGTTCCCAGCAAAAAAGGGGAATAATTTATTTTCACTATATTCACTCAATCCATCTGGGTTTCTAACACTTTCTGTACTAAAACATCTAAAGGCAAAAATCTTATCAGATAGTGGTACGTTGTCTAATTTGTCAGTTTAGAGGTCCATGATTTAAAAAAAAGTGTGTAAAAAAAGGTTTATTTTTCCATCCATATTGAAGAACCCAAAATACATCCACACACTGATTCTCAGACGCTTCAGGGTCATGATTGTCGTCCTGTAATATCCTGTCTTGTTCTTGTTATAGATTGTTATATGGTCTTGTTTGTCTGTTTACCGATATTCATGTTTTTTGACGCTGTTAAATCTCATTAGTTCACATCAGAAACTGTTTTTCATCTAGGACTGAAAACATTTTGGATAAAACTGTTTATATGATAGAAATCAGTCACTTCAGGGGAATCGTTAGAGAAGAAAAAACAGAGTTTACTAAACGTCGTCTACCATCATCAGAATGTGTTTAATAAATGTGTGTTTCATCAGTGCGTCCCTCAGTGTGAACTCCAGTGTTCGTCCTCACACAGAGCTTCTGTTTCCTGCAGCAGCCACTGTTTCCTGTTGGCACCGAGCGGCGATGATGATGATGATGATGGAGGTTCACGGCAGGCAGAGCCAGGCACCACGGGCAGCTGGGCGGGACGCCAGCAGCAGCAGGCAGCGATGCGAAATCTGACCCCGAATAAAGAGAGAGAGAGAGAGAGAGAGAGAGAGAGACGGGGGTCAGGCCGGGACACAGCGCTCTGGCCGGCTTCACTCCCAGCTCCAGTCTGGGAGTGAAGCCAGGAACCAGAGCCGTGATGGATGAGCGTCTATCTGTGGACGTTAATCTGGTTATCAGTGTTTGACCACATGATGAGAGGCTCTGATTTCCTGCCCTGAATTCAACTCAGCTCGAAATGATGCGTCTGTCACGCTTCAGCTTATTTAGAACAAAACCTTAGATACCCAGAATAACACTGTGATGGTTCCTCTTTGTTTACATTCACATGTACTAGTACATTTACTCACTTAAACACAGTTTTCAGATACTTGAACTTTACTTGACTGATTCCATGTTATACGTACTTCACACTTCACACTCCCAATCCTCCACATTTTATTATTCCTCCGCGCCGGCGACAGCCAGAACTCCGTAACGCCTTGACTTAACTTCTTCAAATCCTATTAAATTTTAATGGTCAAAGGTCAAAGGTCAAGGGCGTGGTGACCTCACAAAACCCAGTTTTGACCTTGTGAATGGGATATCTCAGTAAAGCCTTGACAGAACTTCTCCACATTTGGTACAAACGTCCACTTAGACTCAAGGACAAACTTACTCAAGACTTGGACTGACTGGACAAACAGATGTAATCTGAAATTAGTCTGAGTGGCGGAGGGATACAACCACAAAGCGTTGATTGTAGTTGTTAAATATTGTGATTTTTACTCCACTACATTTGTTAGGCAGCTTTAGTTACTTGTTACTTTACTGATAATTATCACAAAATATAATGATGAGAACTTGTGCTTTCTGTATTCTGAGTAAATACTGATGCTAATATTTATGTACTTTAATTCAAGTGGTTGTTTTCGTCTCTTACTGAGTTCTTTGACTTTAGCTATGACTTCATACAGAGCCCTGGGGCCCCTTGCTATCTGAGGTTCAGGGGCCTCCAGAAGCTGACAGAGAAGTGTGAGGGTCATGTTTGTGTCTTTTTCAGTACAGAGATTTTCCAAGTTGACAGATAAGAACGAGCTCTGTGAGGGAAAACACTGTGATGGGCTGATAACAGATGACAGTGTTATTTGTTTTGACTGTAGGATGAGGTCAGAGAGGTGACACATGCTTTATGATCTCTGTATTTTTATCCCAGCAGCACTGCAGAGGAACTAGGTCACACACACACACACACATGATACTTGACCTCTCACTTAAATACCATTAAAATATAATTTCATCAATTTATCCTTAATTTACCCCTGAAAATGTTTCAGTTGGTCTTGAAAAGGCAAAAACCATTCATTTGAAAAGTCCCTTATTAACACTTATATATAACAGTTACTGTACATTACACCCTCCTTACTTTACACATGGATTTGGAATTGACACTTCCAATGATTAACAATTTAAGTTGTTATTGGTGTTATAATGTGTTACATATAAACAAAAATAAACTTAATTTATACAACACAAAATAAAGTTATAAAGACATGGTTAAACTAAGATTAAAACATTTCAAGTAGAATGCAATAAGTAATAATAATCATAACTAGAAAATTCTAGAAATGTTGGATGTTTGAATGAAAGATTTAAAACTATTGTTTGAAAATTTGAGTTTTGTATTTGAGGTTTCAATATTAACATAAACATTTGACAGAATTAGTCGACAATTACAAGTCTTATCCTTTATTATCTCATGTTGCCACCACACTGAGCTGCTGCCCTTAACTGTTTTGAAAAACAAGAAAAAACCAAACTGACCTGTGCACACTTACAAAATATTCTTTTAGAATGAATTACAATAAATGTTCTGCAGACACACTCCTGTCCCCATCTCTGTCTTTAAAACTTTTACAGTTTCATATAACAAGGTGATATTTATCAGCTCAATACATTTATGAATTTGAAGTAAAGACCCTCCTCATCCATCGGGAGAGGAGGTACAGCCCCACCCCCCTCTCCTCTTCACAGCCTCCAACACAAAGACGAGCGTTGTCTCGTCGTCATTTCAGACGTTTCAGTCCGTAAACGGTCGTTTCTCTCTCAGCGGGAAAAAAAAGAGCCTCTTTATAGACTGCAGCATGAAGTTGGTCTTCTTTAAACAAATGTGGCATTAAGGATGCTCAATGGTGTGTGTGTGTGTGTGTGTGCGTGTGTGTGTGTATGGTCCGTGTTGGGAATGACCACCACTGGTTGTTCAACTCTTATTTGCCTTCTTGCAGAGTTAAATGAGAAGACATTGAATAAGAAGCTGGAACCAGTAGCCAGTTAGCTTAGCTTAGCACAAAGACCAGCAACAGGGGGAAACAGCTAGCCTGTCTCTGAGCCTCTCTTCTGATTGGCTGTTTTCTGACTGATCCAATAATAATATAGCAGATTTCAGGTAAAAACACTCAGAGAAACCAAATCCTGCAAGGTTTGGATGGTGGGTCCAGGTGGGCGGGGCTTGGTGACTGCTTTGTTGTGACATCACAAAGTTCCAGAAGTCCTGACGGCTGGTTTTAAGGCTCAGTTTCTGAATACAGGCTGTGTGCATTTCTCTGTGGACTGAGGCTTTGATACTTTCACAGTATTAATATAGAAGCTAGAGCTGATCTATAATCACACTACACATGGACACAGACCTTTACACTGGATGGAGCTTTAACTCAACATGTATTTTTCTCTCTCCATCTTTCTCACTTGAAACTCCTCTGTGTCTGCGTTGCTGTATATATGCGTATTATGTGTATTTATGTGTGTGTGTGTGTGTGTGTGTGTGTGTGTGTGTGTGTGTGTGTGTGTGTGTGTGTGTGTGTGTATGAGCCAGCGTGTCCTTGGTTCACCTCTGCTGCTTCAGCATCATCAGCTGCTTTCATTGCACTTAAAGAAACACACACACACACACACACACACACACACACACACACACACACACCCAGTTTAATAGTCTTTAGAAGTTGTCAGTGTAAAAACATCCATCCCACACTTCCTTCATCTCACCCCCCTCACCCCTTCCTCCCCTGCCCCCCTCCTTACAAAATAACATCTTGTGCCAGTTTTTATATGTTTACATTTGAGTTTTTACATTTTAAAACCCAGTGAAGTAAATGAAGAGAAGAACAGAGACAGAGGGGGAGGGAGAAAAGGGGGAGACAAAAGCTGGAGTCTACAGAGTTGAACCTGTTGACCTCAAAGACAAAGACACCTCCCCCTGCTGGACAGAACATGAAGTGCAGGCATCTTTCCATTTAAAGCTGCCAACTACATTTCAGAGGGAAATGCTGAACTTTTGACTCCACTTGACTACACTTCATATTTTACATGCAAAATATTGGTTAAGTTTAGCGTTTATTAACAGCCGAGACAGCATGGCTTGTTGAATGTGTGTGTGGTTTTGACTGATGTGGCATGTCTTTATATATTTTTATGTTATGTCACAGTTGTGCGAGATACAGTCGTGAAACTTTACAGGTGTGTAGCTGAGATCAAAATGAAGGTTCATACATGTTGGTGTGACCCCAGCTGGTCTCTCATTATATATTAAACCAGATGTTTCCACTGTTTTCAGCTAATGAACCCTTATAAAAAGAAGTGTTTGACTTTCTTTCCTCTCCCACTAATCACCT